TTTAAATCCCCTTAAGTTTCAAACTCATCCAGATACTAAGGCAAAATACACAACTTAAGGATTCTCAATGATTATCCTCACTTCTCTATTTGCCTCTACTGATTAGCTCAGCAAAATGTATTCCTTTTTATTTGCTGATGAAGACACCTCAGTCAGACTCCTGAAACAATACTGGTCATCACACCATCTGGTTAACCAGCTGGAGCTAAATTCACGGAGCTCAAGCTCCACTGTGTCCAGATTCAGAGAAACTCTGCTGAGGAGTTTTGCTTCATTTTGAATTTCCTTCAGCAATGAGCGACTGGCAATTCAGAGTGAAGATTCCAGCTTAATGCTTACATCATCACTCCACAAGAAGTTTCAAAAATCTAGGCAGGAAACAGCAATGAAGTCTGTGCAAATCAGTTACTGGGAACATGTTTCAAATGGTTAAGACAATACAGCTGTCCCCCTGAATAAAAGTTTCAGTATCTAGCAGAATATTACTGGACCATTCAGGCCATGAATTATGTCTTCAACTCTCAGTATGAAGTGTTCAAAACAAACACTGGCTTGAACACAGGCACTGGAGCAGTTGCAGGTAACAGGGGTGCAGAAGAGGCTCACCTATGGCAAAAGGAAGCTCATTCACACACATTCTGCTGACCTTGGACACTCTCCTGAGCTCTCTGGCTCTTCTGTTCACACAGAAGAACAAGAAAGGCAGCATGAGCAAACAAAAACCCATCCACAATAGTCCTACTAACACAGCTGAAGGAGAAGTTTCTCCAGTTTAAAGAAAAGAAAGTGCTCATGAACTGCAAAGGCAGCAGCTGAACCAAAAACTATTTTTATGGCTATATGGGAGACAAAAAACTCAAGAGCAATTTAAGAAATTCAGTAAGGCTGAATCAAAAGATAACAAGGACTGTAAACTAAGAACTAGGAATCTCACAAAGCATTTCACTGTTAAGAGATTAATTTGTCTCAGTGGTGAAATCTGCTCAGCCCAAAATAACTGGGTTTCCCAGGTCTGTGCAGTACCTTTACATTAACAGGTATAATCTCAGTCCTTTTTTAGAGTGATACTGGAAGACTGAAAGCTACTGCAAAACCATATATCCTTGCATCTAATCCTCAGCACACATTTTTGTATTAATTGCTTCTCAGTTAAGAAAGCTATCACTTTATATTATAGCAACTATTCCTCTAAAGTCAGTCCACTGCTCTCCAAAGTTAAGAATAATTTAATTCCTTTACTAACAGCCTATAAAATTCTCAACTCTCTCTGCTCAGAGACACTACTTATCCATTCCCAGTCAGCACAAGGCATTTTAAATACAATGCTGCATTTCCAGCATGTAAACTGACATTCTCTAATGAAAAGTGAAGAAAACAATGACTTTGCCTATGTCTACAGCAAAGTCCAGTGAAAGAGAAAATGAGAAGTATTATTTCAAAAGTGAGAATCAGCTTGACTGTCCATTGGAAAGAATAACTCTTAATGACATTCCGAAACTCTAATATAGAAGTTAGCAATACTAATAATACTAAAAATTTATAGATCTTATCTTTTAAAATGTTCATGTATAGGCCTCAAAGCACTTTTCCACTTCTGGTAACAGAATAAAACAAAACATTTCCAAAGTGTTTTGCCATGAATTCAGCACACACAGACATTCAGCACCTTACTAAGAAACAGATTCACGTTCTCTCTGTTTGGAGGGTTAGAAAGCCCCAGGTTACATGAAAAGAGCAAATCATCACTCTCATACACATAGCTCCACCTTCACTGAGTCAGAAGCCTTTCTGTATAAGCCCCAGATCCAACCAAAACACATGAACAGCTTAGTGAGCTCATCCTTCCCTGGTATCTTATGTTTCAGATAAAGCACAGGACCATTCTATACATAACCATGCACTCAAATATATCTTTATGACAGGGGAAATTGTCATCCTTGCTTCTAATCAGCTTTTCTGTAAAGACTTCTTCCTTATGCAGCTCCTAGTGCTCCTCACATGAGAATTCTAACAAAAAGTCATTAAAGTCTCTAAAATAAATTTTAATATTTAAAAAAATACCGAAGGCTTCTGTAAATGCCAGATATCAGCATCGGCAGTCTTACTATTGATGTACCATGTACAGGAAGAATTTGATTGGTTTTCTACTTTTGAATCATACTGTTAATAAGTGCAATATGAACATTGGTGAACTCTGGAGAACCCGGAACTCCAAGTCAAGAATGACAACCTCTGGTTGTATAAGAAATAAGATTTGACAAGGCTTGTCAATTGTAAACACCAGGGCTGAAAACGCAGTTTGAACAACATATTGAAAAGTCAGGCAAAAAAAAAAAAAAGAAAAAAGAACATTTTGTCACCATGAAAGTTTGGCAGTAACACAGGGTTATTCTACTTTCACTCAACAAGATTATCGTCCAGAAGACAGAATCAACTGTCTGGAAAGAATTACAGAGGAAAAATCTTCCCAAGCTGCCTCTTTCTCTTCTTTAAAGTCAGAGGCTTCACTTCACAAACTCAAGAATTAGCATTACCAGCATTTCTACTTAGTGGCATTATAATACTCACTTTAAAGTCTTGACTGGATGATCCCAAGTCAACAATGTCAAACATACAAATGACAGAACAAATGCATAAACTGAAAAAGGCCCATTTTTGCTAACTACAATAAATCTCCTGTACTAGTTAAGTTGCCAAATAATGTTTACACTGAAAATAGAAATAACTTGGTGCCACTGTAACTATGTACTGTTATTTAAGTGTTTCTAGTTAAAGTATCATAGACACCTACATCAAGAGAAATTATCAAATCATTCCAAAATTTTCAAAATTGAAGATGGCTGTTATTACAACACATAAAAGTAGCCCAAACTTTTACATGTTATTACTAAGCCTTTGGAATTTATGTAGTCACAACACAATAAGCTAAGAATGAAAGCAAGTGGAATAAATACCCTCCCATTTTCCTGAGGCTGAAAAGCCTAACCAACTTCAAAAGCTGACTTCTGGTAACTTTTCATTGCCATAATTAACATGTGCAAAACTCACCTATGAAGACATTGGCGCTTCGTTATACAACCATTAGAACCTACTCAGCATAACCATTTTCCTTCCTGCATTCACCCACTGGTTCCTTCCCTGCCATAAACCCTCTCAGATAAGTTTCTATCATGTCATCCACCCCATGACTAACTTTGCAGTACTTCAGACTGAATTAACAACCACAACAGACAACCCTGGCCATTCGCCACTTAAAAGTTGACATATTTTTAACCACAGCGAATAATCCCAAATTATAACAGTGAGAGAAAGAGTGTAGAATTACAAACTCTTTATATTTCTCCTTCAACGAAAAAAAACCCCACCACACAAACAAAAAAAACCCAAATAAACAGATCAACCGAGCAAAATATATAAACATGCCTTATTCTGAAAAGTTACTTGATAACCTACACATCACTGTTTCCCTCGATCTCTATAGCGTAATAAAATACTAAGATTGTGAACTTCAGAACTGAGGAGCTTTAAGTTTTGTCGTCTCAATCAGAATTCGTAAAAACGTCAGCGATGAGGGACGGGAAAAAAAAAAAAAAAAAAGGAAGCGAAAAAAAAAGCCAGAGGTAAAAGAAAAAAATCAGCGAACAAACTGGGCTGAATAAGGTCACACTTGGTTATTCCCGACTGCCAGCAGGGT